TTGGCTAGGTAAATATAATCTGCCTGGGAGCTATTGTACAGCCTACAGCAGCGTGCATCAAAACGTTGCAATATTAAGAGATTCAAAAGAGAGGAATAAAAAAATTTAAACCTCCTCATCCTGTTTTGTTATCACAAAGTCTTCATGTTTCATTGTCTATAATAATATACACTTGTTCTTAATATTTTAGGTTTTCATTCATTTCAAGCCTACCCACGTTGGGCTATAAATTGGAAAAATCGGCACTGGGGGCCATAGGCTGAGCGGATGGTACAGAACATGTTCGAGATAGTCGGGGATCAGGATCTGGGCGTAGCGGTTGGGTCCTTTTTGTCTAAGGGCTCTTGTTTGCCAATGAAATTTATGAGCTTTTCGCTTCGTGTACCATACTATTATGGTGAATCCAACCATTAAGCGCCCTGTATCATTTCGAGCGAGGTGACCAGGAGGACGCTGCTTGTCGCCCAGTGGTTAAACAGGTATGGAACCGATAGCGCGAAGGAAGGTAACGTGGGGACAAGGCTAGCCTCAGGGGAAGCATATCACATAAACAGGGTAAATGAATCCATAAAATGGTAGTATCCAGATGGTGATATCAACAACGAGAGTCTGGCGTTGTTGGTTTGATTGTCAACAGATGAGGTCGAGGTGTAACTAACTAGAGGGGTGTCTGAGGGGAGGGTGGAAGTGGTAGAGGGGGCTGCGCAAGCATTTGATGCTTGTTCGCAATAAAAATTAATTACTGACTTGCAGTAGTTAGCGGAAATCATTCCATTTTTCTTTTTTCTCATGTGATTTAGAGCGCTTTAACTTTGTATGTATGACCTGCAAGCGAAAAGTGTAAAAACAAATATCACATCAGAAGTTATCCACTCCTCAGCCCGTTCCTTTTTTGTCAACCTCGTACCCACGGAATAACATATTACTAACATGATAACGAAAGGGCGCATTTTAGCCTTGGAATCGTCTTTCAAGCCTGAAAACAGTCATGAAACATAGCAAGAGAGGGGATGGTTGGGTGGAACATTAAGGCATCATAAAAAACGGCAAAGCAGGACTGATAGAATAGAGAAGGGAATTTTCGGGTTCGGGAATACAAGTCGAAAAATGAGAGGTATGTGGCATCCCCAGAAGATGGGTTGAACGATGATGATATGAACTTTGCTAGAGAATTGTAAGAAGGGAAATTGAAGCTATAATATAAGATTGGTCTTGAGCTGTGAGTCGGAAATAACGCAAAAAAGCTAAACGAAGTAACAGGCAAAGAAAAACGCAAAAAGATAAGGGGGAAAGGAAACGAACATCAATTAACGCTTAAGTTTCCCACACGCCAAACATATAACCCGACCTGTCCATATCCATCCCTTCTAAAATAACGCAGCCGTGAAAATAAATAAAGGGGAATCCATTCGTAAACACAAGTCATTTCCTATCTCCTAGAGATAATAGTTCGATAAACATGATTTTACCTTCGCGGCAGTGTTCCAACCATTCTCCCCCCACTGCCAGCCATTAAGCTCTGTTGAACGATTAAATCAGCAGCAGCCGCCGTCGCCAACCTCTCTTTCTGTCGACTGCGATCACGGATATACGGGTACGCCTCCGGTCGCATGCGCAGGATGCGAAGGATCATATCATCGTTCGGTTCCGCTTGTGCCTCTCGCCATTTTTCCTCCTTGGCTTTCCTCATAGTGCCCAGGTTACGGGACAGCATAATACTTTTGCCCCGGCGAGCAGAGGGGATACCAGCCGCACCACCAATGGCAGAGTATGGGCTGAGCGATGAAGATGTGGCGGAGAGTCGGTTTCGGTTGGTCTGCTGACGCGCTGCGGTCGCGGAGGCCATGCGTTCTGACGTTCGAATTAAATTATCGGTTGGTTCAAAGTAGAAGAAGAAGAGGCTTTGGATTTCGTGGTATTTCGGTGATTTGAGGATATCTAAGGGTACGCCGTTTGCTTCGCCGGTTTCTTCGTCGACGGCGTTGAAGAAGTTGAGGAGCAAGAGGAGCCAACGGGATACGACGTCGACTTCTTGCTGAGTGAGCGGTCGTTGATTGGAAGGTTTGTCAGAAAGTGGAGGAACTAAAAGAGCTTCCACAGTAACCAGTACTTCTTTCCATAACCGAGCCATGACCTTTCTCATGGCTTCTTCTGTCAGTGTTTGGTTCATTATGGAAAAGTTGTCGTCGAAATATGTGAACAGTGTGTCTAACGCGCCCTCGATTTCCGCCTGAGTCGGACCTGAAGCGGTCGCTGCTTTGTTCCGATTAAAATAGCTGGAAACAGTGGACATAGTGATTCCTTTCGACAGCAACGCTTTGAGAGCACGACGAGAGAGACAATGGTTGATATAAGCGGAAAGCTGAAAACACGCGTCAGCAAGTGATATCCAACCGGGAATACGAGTGTGACATTAAATTGAACATACCTTTTCCGTTGTTTTCCGGGTCATCTCTCGTTCTGTACGTTTCAGAGTACGAAAGGCCTTGCCAAAATAAAACTGGATATCATCGCGTTCGCCTTCCATACTCACACGAAGCAAGATTCGGCCTTGCGTGTCCAAGTCTAGCCAGTATTCCCTTGGGACAAAGTCTGAAAAGTGAGCAGGATCAAGCTTGAGAGAAGTGCGTCCCATATAATCGTGGCTCCCCACAGCGTCCCAGTCCCAGACTGTTGCAATGATGTTCTGCGGTCCCTTTGTAACGATGTCTACCGTATCGTCCCACCGGGGGTTAAGATTGTCATAGACAATACGAGTCTTGAAGATACGCTGGGACTCATCGGCCAAGGAAACGTAAGGATCACTAAGTCCATCCATGTCACATCCCTTCAGGTCTTCTGCCTCGACGATTTTGACTGTGAAAACATAGTTGGTGATCTTCCTTGGCCGTTGTAAAGTAGGGGGCGTATGTTTTGCAAGCACATCCGCGCAAGCATCAACATTTATGTCCTTTTCAAGCTTATCCAACTGATGGAGGGCGTATTCGATATTATTCAGCTTTACAAAGGACTGAAAAAGAAAAAGGTTAGCAATATTCACAGCTATTTTTTTCTTTTCTTTTTTTTTTTTTTTTTCGCAAAGCTTACCTGGGGGAAGAACTGAAACGGTTCAATTTTTTCTTTATTATTCCACGCCTCCTTGGCCATCTGCATCCACTTCTCTTGTCGTGATTGCGACAAGGATGCTTCTTGTTCAGGGGTAAGGCGATCCATTTCCCTACTAAATTGTTGTTCAAGAACTTCGCAGTATCTCGCAATGCCTCTTCCGATTGATTTCGAAATGGCCGTCATGAACTTAGCATATCCCACATCGTCATCCCAATTCAGCTGCACAATTTGATTAATCACTTCATTAAAAGACCGGAAAACATCTACGACGGATAAGCTGCGTCGTTGCTCTTGTGTCGGTATGTCAGTCGGTGATTCAGTGCGGACTTTGAAGTCATCTTGTTTGATAGCTTGATTGACCCAATCCACGATCTTCTCATCAGTAGCTTGTATCCAGCGCCAAACGAAGTTGGACAGAAGTTCCTCGATTGGGATGGGAAAAGGTTCACTGTAATGCCGTTAGCTAAAGAACGAGGAAACGTTAAATATGATTGAGCTACTTACCCAGGGAGTGTTGTTGTATAAAATTGGCGGATTTGTGCCAATTCTTTGTACAAATCAAAGCCATCCTGGACGCCAATCTCCTCGTTTTTATCTTGGGCTTGCTGTATAATCCTAGTTATGATATCGCGTGCGTCCTCTGCGAACATAGGAAGAACGCATTTGGACAGGATAGTTGCGGGATTGACGCTGGAAAAGTCAGTCTGAGGGCGAGAGATCAAGAATTTGCAAGTACGTACCCCATGATTTCCGGGTTCTTCTTATATCTCTTCTGTATTCGTTGGCAAAGCTTCAAAATTCCTTTCCCAAGTTGAATTACATGATAAAACTCCCACACATCCTGTTCTGGGGGTATTTCCTTGTTGAGATGTTCTTGATATACTTCTTTTGCCTTGTCAACTAGTCCATCATATACATAAGAACGAAAATTCTCAACGTCGTCTGGTTTAGATATAAAATTGGGGTCAGCTTCGACATAGTTTTCAAGGATGTACATCACTGAACCTATAGGGGGAACTTTGGTGTCAAAGCAGTGCATCATCGTCTCATAGAGATGTCGAAGGAGCGCTTCGTGGAGAGAGGCAAGCAGGTGTGTCATTACACCAAAATCAGCCAGCGTCCAATTCTCCCTATTTGAGAGCAAGGAGACGATTAGACTACTGCTACGTTTCGATTTCTCCGACGGTGGTTGGTTCACAAGAATGAATGCCGAATCCAATGTGTCAAGGTCAATCTCCTGCTCCACATATTTCTCCCGGAAAACATCAAGGAGCAATACAGCACGACTGGATGTTGGTATTCGCCAGCGAAGGCCTATTTCGTTGAGTAGATCCGTAGCTTGTTTTGAAAGGAGAGCCGTAGCTGGTGAGTCTGATGTCGCGTCTGATGCGTTGGTCTGTCTTTCCTGTAGCTCGTGGTTTACCACTTGAAGGAGTATAAAACGGTAAAACGACCTAGGATCCGGGGGAATGAAGGTGTAAATATTAGAGTTATCAGCGTAATCATGAGACGCATCGGGCTGTGACAAAGAAGCAGCATCTATTGAAGAAATGTCCGAGGTGTCGGAATAACCAATATCTATTGCATGGGGGTCGCTAGATCTGGTATTGAGATGAGGAAGTGTGCTACCAGGCAGACTTGTTTTGGTATCGGGGTTTGACTGCATTATAGAGAACATCATCCGGGAGAGTTCGCCAGCCTCGGCTTTCTTCCACGCTTCAAAAGCTTCGGTTGAGTCGAAGTCTTCATTAGACAGAGTCTTCCTGGTATTCAGGTTGAGTTGCACCTGGTATGTTTTAAGGTCTTGTAGGGCCGCCGTCGCTGTCCACACATCTTTATACTTGTTTATATCTGACTGCACATACGAATTCCTGAGTCCAAACACTTTCGCCACAAATTGGACTAATGGCATGTCTTCGACCTTGTAAGTCAGGGGCACGAGTTCGGTAATTACGTTTCCATCCTTTGGGGATGCCTCCGCAAGGTTCTGATCATGTGCAAGCAATTTGGTTTCCAGAGTGGAAAGTTGGCTAGCCAGCTCAGGCCTATCCTTATCCCAACCCTGGTCTTTGAGGACCAAACTGATGATCCTCACGAATAGAGCCACATGCCTATCAACCATAAGCTTCCAGCTGATATCATCTTGTGCCTGACCTTTGGAGAGCTCTTTTGTAGCATGGGTAACGAAGATTAAAACCAGGGGTTCTGCCCGTCTGTCCTCTCTCATATTCTTGTTAAAACCTGGCTCCCTCAACTGATTTAGAAATGCCGCAAAAGTCCTCCTGACAGCCTCATCCTGGTAAGCTTTCTCTTTTTCGATCCCTTTAAACACTCCCGTTACTCGATTTTCGAGCCGGCCGATAAACCCATGAGGTAGCCTCGTGCTCTTGTTATCTTTGACGAAGTTTAGATCGGCTATTATGGAAGCTGATGATTTGTGAGCTCGCTGGCGGGGAACTGGAACGCTCTGGGTGCGACGTGCCCTTGGTTGGAGAAGGTAGGCGAGATATGCAGCTCGAAGGGCATATATGTAGGCGTCATTGTGGCTGACAGGCCTCTTTCGAGAAATGGAAACATTCCGAGAACGGCGACCTAGGCCTGGACCACTGTCGCTATCTAATCGTCGACCAAAGCCGCGAGAACGGGAGGATGCAGTCGACATGAGACCTAAGCACGTGTTTCCCTTTTCTCTATCCAAACGAGGGTAGCTGAGCGACGGGAGAGAAGAGATATAGTCATGGAGTCCTGCACGAGGAGCCAAGTCTGCAGAAGTGGAATAAAAACGTCCTTCTTATCTGCGTTCAATGCGGGCGTTCGAGGTTTCACAGGCTTGCGGCGCTGGGAAATGCGTAGTCATGCAGTACAACGTTAGGTCGATGGCTAATAGAAGAAGAGTCTCAGCAAACGGTAAGGAGACAAGCAGTGTTATAAGTAATTAAGGATGATGTGTGCAGGTTGGATAGGAGGCTGGACCTGAAAGCCAAAGAGCTGGAAATATACGTTGCTTATCTATTTAAGGTTACAGTGGCAGTGGTGATGCTGACGAAAGGTTGACAGTTCCGAGACAGTCGTTGGTCTGGCGACTTGGCAGCAGCCCCGAGTGACTGTAGAAAGGCGCAGGGTCTTATTGCGATCTTCGAGTATGCAGAATTCCCTGGCTATACCAGGAGATGTTAAGCTGGCAAATACCGACGTCTGATTGCATTGATTCTAAGTGTTGTGAGGTTTGATGGTGGGGAAGGTTTTGCGGGACGTGGTTTCAGGATCAGTCGCATCCACCAACTTTAATTACATTACATCGTAAGTGCTACTATTCACTAACTAAATAGCTAAATAAACGGTACGGGAGCCAAGCTGCTTCAAGATATCGTCTGCGTGCTTGGCCTCCACTCCGACGCTTCATCGCCCGAGACCTGTCACAATTGAGAATTTTACGGCGGCCATGCGTTTTGATTGTCAGATTTAGGAACGCCCTGCACTTGAACGATCACGAATACTGGCCCTGGGCCAAGTTTTTATGGCTCAGCACTGTCTTCACAGCCCGCTAGCTGTGAAACTGTTCTTTGAAGGGAATGGACATTATCTGATTGCACATGGCACGGCACGTTTCTTGCTTTTGCGGCTTGTTGACCAAAACCAGTCAGCGATTTAGATTGGTACATGTACATGTATCCAGTACCAAGTCCTGTCGATAACTTCGCCCTGGTGCTGAATACTGAGGATAACTAGATGTTTGGCGCTCGAAACTCAACTCTTCATCTGTTGCCCCATCTGGGTCTACTGTGGCTACAATACAAGAAAAGTATGGCACTCTGGCGTGCATGGAAACCATGTTCTCTTTTCCCAATTCCGCAGATCTGGATCCCAATTGTGTTCGCTGAGGACAGGAAGATTTGCTCCATGTTATTCAGAGGTCTTCTGGCAAATAGTTCAGTGATTCCACTTTTCCTTCGGCTGCAACAGTTGTCAGACGGCCCTTGTGTACATAATACGGTTGTACCTAACATATAGGACAAAAACGACTAGACTAAAACGTAGAGTATACGAGGTTAAATAGCTTGGAGGCCCAGAGTTAACTTGCAAACTCATCTTCCTCATTGTTTGTATCACATAATCATTGTTATAATAATTTGATGCCAATTGGGAAAAGATAGTGAAGTTGACAAGTGCCATAGATGTCCACCACACAATGGCAACACGTGTGTTAGAAAAGTATAGCTGTGGGAAAAATGGGTCGAAGGTTGATGAGATGTGCAGGTCATACATGCTGCACAGTACATATTGTGCGCAGTCACTTTTTCTTTTTGGTGACAGAAGCTGTCGTGCCTCAGATGGGTACCGAGTCAAATGGGACTTGAGGTTCAGAGATTCATCTTATGCCTCAATTTAAGGCAAGTACAGCAAGCATCAAAGGAGAAAAGACTGTTTGGTCGACGCCGTGGCACAAATACTCTTATTTACATATAAATCAAATACAATGCCTCCAAGCAAGATCACCATTTGTCTTCTCCTGGTGCACGAGCCTTCAGAAAGTCAGCCTTCTAGAACCTTAACTCGCTGAGGAGGGAATGTTCAAAACCTACCCGAACAGTGTTTGGTCCTCCAAGCTCCTTTTCCAGTCCACCTGGGAATGTGCGTGGCACGCTAGGTTTATCGGGGTAATACAGGCTGACAATCCCGCTGAGGATGAGGACGAAACTTCCAGCACATCCCAACAGGAAGAAGCCTTTGGCGGGCTTGAAGTGCGTATATTTTTCCGTGGAAAGTATAGTTAAGATATCATTATCTTCATGAACAGGTTCTCCGAAGTTTCTCCGGTCCTGCTTATCCCACCAATCGCCGTATGGGTCGCGGAATTGGCGTTTCTGGCCGGGGGGGTTGTAGTAGTTGTTATTCTGAAAAGGTACGGTACTGTGATCAGCTCATGTAAAGGAGGTAGGATAATATCGGCAACCCACCATCTCTGGGTCTTCGACCGTAGGCTGTGAAGCAAATCGAATCTGGGAAACCGATGCATGTGGGCGGGCGAACCGGCAAACTACCCTTGTCGGCAGTTTTGCTGCCGTCATAAATTGCCTCGACAACATCTAACAGTTCGGGGAAGTTAGCTGTAGGGTCAATGGCATTTTTGATTAGGTATTACGCACTGTAGAGGCTCGCACGACGGCTCGTCAGACAGGATTGAGATTAAACAACGCGCTTGGATCCTGCAACGCGGGCCACAGGATGCAATGGTGTATATCGACGACATATCCGAACGTTCCAAGGAAATAATGAGATGTCCGGAAGCGGTTTGGCTCAATGTTGCGGGGGATCATGTGATTCTTATGTCAGCGAAATTAATTGCCTCCCTAGTCTGCGAAAAACCACTTCACACGCAATCCATCAGCGCAACGCATTTCTTTGTCACCAGCAACGCAAATTTGCCGATAACGATGCCAAAATTTATATGCCAATTTTATGACAGACGAGCTATCGATTGATGGTACATCCATACATTTGGAACGCGTTTTCGTTGGGATCGTTGGGGTCTGCTGCGTCCTTGCGCCCCTAAGCTAACAAGAAATGCAAAACGGCAGCCTTCGAGGCACGTCCCAACACCACCACGACAGCGCAACATCCGAGCCTGAAGCCGAACTTGATGGCTCGCCTCCTCCGAAAGCTCCTCCCGATTCCGCTGTAGGAGATTCCGTTCCTAATAACCCTAGGCATGAAGATGAGGAGCCCGACACCCTCCCGGGACCCCCGTCCAAAAAGCGGAAACTTGCAGACTCCTCTGGCCGAAGTACGCCGCGTCCAATATCTCCTCCGTGGAAGCGCGTGGCGGTTGATGGGCCCACCTCCTTCATCGAAGGCGGCAGGCGAAAGTCGTCTAGGACAAACGTCGTACCACTCGATTTGCTGCCTCAGTCGGATAAGAGACATACCCGTTCTGCACACCAGGACTACGTGAACCGATCGAAGCCAACTCGCGTTTCGCGACATGGGAATTCTCCGTTGGTCGCGATGGCATCCCAATCTGAAACGAATGGGAGGCGTTTGTCTACAGGAAAGGTCACTACTAATGGTACTGAAACTACTTCTCCCAGGAAAGATTCTCTACGAAGCCCGAGTACCAGAGTCCTACTCGCGAAACAACAAAATACCCAAACTTCCGTTTCTAAAAACGGGTCGTCGAGAAACAGAGCTCCTAGTCTAGCTACGTCTGGTTCCCATAACAAGTCCACTACTCTTACGAACGGGAGGAGTACCCCCAGGTCTCACCGAAGCCATGTTACCTCTGCGGAGACGTCTCCTGTGGCTGCAAAACATGCGACTACAAGTGGAAGAAGTCGGAGGACCGAGGTTTCAGAGCGACAGGAGGCCGGAGGGAATTCGGGTCCGATGTTACCAAGACTGCGGTTTAAAGTCAAAATGCCGTCTCTAGCTACCCAGCATCCATCCCATGTTCTACCGGATAGGAAATACTCGTCATTTCGTGAATGGATAGAAAATGAAGCTGCAACAGACGATGAAGTGGGATTCTCCACTCCTGAGGCTGCGCTTGCAGAGGCTCGCATGAGATCGAGGGTTTGGGAAGCGGGGCAGCCTGGCCAACTACTAAGTAAAGAACGCTGCTCTCGTTATATGACTGATCCGGCGGAAGAACCTCCCGCCCAATACTCCCACCAAGATTACCTTATCGCCCATGCCTTGTATTTTAAGAAATTGCTCGATAAGGAACGCAAGCAGCATCGACACCTAGCAAAACTATTTGCTCAATGGTGTGCCGAAGTGTGGAGGAAGCGAAATAAACACCCAGAGGATATATTAAGGGAACAGCAGGAAGAAATGCGTCAGAAACGTAAACAACTTGTTAAGGATTTGCAGCGTCAGTTTGATGCGGTTCGTGCAGAGGTGGAGAAAGCTCGTTTGGCCCGATGGGAAGAACAGAGAAAGGCAGAGGATCAACTTGCGTTAAACAAGGCTATCAAACAATCCACTTTGTTGTTTGAAATGAGGAGACCGGATAGACCGGACGATTCTCAAATCGAGGAGAGCCAGTCTGAGGTTCAAACGGGCTCGGAGTCAGATGAATCTAGCACCGACGAAACAGAGGATGAAAGTAATATGTCGACGGCATCTGAGAGTGAAGGGGATGACGATGGCGAAATTAACGATGACGAAGGCTTGACGGCAGAAGAACTTCGTATTAAGTATGCGCATCTTACTTCGAGTAACATTGGAGTTGATGTTAAATCAAGCCGTTCGCCGCGAGACCCATTGATATCCGCCCGTGATGCCTCTCCTGACATGGAATCAAACACCAAAATGGAAGATCCATTTTCAACATCTGCAAGTGATACAGGACAAGGCGTAGCAAACTTAGATGAAGTTGATTCGGTGCTGCTAGATGATAGCGACGAAGAGTCGACGGACATGGAAGATGACATGGGTGATAGTGACGAAAATCGTTCATTCTCCGATGAAAGTGGCGACGATGAGGCCAGTAGCAGTGATGAAGAGGGCCCTGGTTTATTGGGGTTTTTTACCACAAAAATAGACAAAGTTGAGCAAGGAAGTAATTCCCACAAGCAAGATCCTGTTGAAACAGACGGGGAAGAGAAGGGTGATGAAGACGAGGTCATCCTTGTCCCAAATGGGACAAACGAGCCAGATGGACAAGAATATCAACCGAGAGCGCACGAGTCGACAGAACACGAGCCACTAAGTCAAAAATTGACCGTACACGAACCTACTCGAACTGATGATAATGGTATCAGCGAGCATGACAAATCTCAAGCTTCTATCAATGTTCGCCCAATTAGAGATGCTAGCAGCGAGCCTTCGCCGGTAACGATTACAACAAAGCCGTCGGAAGCTGAATCGGTTTCTTCATATGAACCAAACCAGAACGATTATAATGAGAGTCAAGCTGATAGTTCGCCTACGAAATCATCTCTTCCAATAAAAACACCCATCCCGCACCTTCTACGTGGGACACTACGTGAGTATCAACACTTTGGTTTGGATTGGCTTGCGGGTTTGTATACTAGCAATATCAACGGCATTCTTGCGGATGAAATGGGTCTCGGGAAAACTATCCAAACGATAGCGCTACTGGCACATTTGGCGGTCGAGCACGAGGTATGGGGACCGCACCTCGTGGTCGTTCCGACAAGCGTAATGCTCAACTGGGAAATGGAGTTCAAAAAGTGGTGTCCTGGATTCAAAATCCTCACATATTATGGTTCGCAAGAAGAGCGAAGACAGAAGCGTAAAGGTTGGATGGATGACGACCGCTGGCATGTTTGTATTACTTCGTACCAACTTGTGCTTCAAGATCAACAAACCTTCAAACGGCGGAACTGGCATTACATGGTTCTAGACGAAGCGCATAATATCAAAAATTTCCGATCTCAACGATGGCAAACGCTCCTCACTTTTAAAACCAAAGCAAGGCTTCTGTTAACTGGCACACCGCTCCAAAATAACTTGACCGAACTATGGTCTCTGCTCTTCTTCCTCATGCCCTCTGATGGCAGTGACACTGGTGTCGAAGGGTTTGCCGACCTTCGAAATTTCTCTGAATGGTTTCGACGACCAGTGGAACAAATTCTCGAACACGGAAGGGAAACCATGGATGATGAAGCCAAAAAAGTGGTTACGAAATTACACACTGTTCTGCGCCCTTACATTTTACGCCGTCTTAAAGTGGATGTTGAGAAACAAATGCCTGCAAAGTTTGAACATGTCGTACCGTGCAGGCTATCAAAGCGCCAACGATACTTATATGATGGATTCATGTCGCGAGCCCAAACCAAAGAAACATTAGCATCGGGAAATTATCTTTCCATCATAAACTGTTTAATGCAGTTGCGGAAGGTCTGCAATCACCCCGATCTTTTCGAGACGCGACCGATAATGACCTCATTCTCGATGCCAAGATCTGCGATAGCCGATTTTGAAATCAAGGAGTTATTTGTTCGACGCCGCCTGTTAAGAGAGGATCCATTGAGCAAATTAGACTTAGACTTCTTAAATTTGGTACCCATATCAAGAGAAAATGCGTCAAGGAGACTTGTGGACGACACATCACGAATCATGGCCTTTGTTCCTCTCAGAGCACTACGCGAGCGCCAATATAATCGCACTAACTGGCGCATGGAATTCGATGGGTCCTCTGTGAAGTCTGTGCTGACATCAATGGAGAATTCATCTCGAAAAATGAGGATGCAGGAGCTGGAGCGGTGCTTGTACTTCGAGTCGAAGCGCCACGGGCAACGGCCACTATATGGGAAAAGCCTTATCGACTTCCTCAACGTCAATATTAGCATCCAGTCAAAATCCCAACGTTTACCGCCACGTCGCTCGCTTATTGATTGGTTTTCGCGTCAATCCCCCGTCCTCGCTTCGATGATTTTGTCCCTCAATGAAAGGTCACAAGCGATGGAAAACATTATACAGAAGTTTGCTTTTGTCACACCGGCAGCGGTTGCGTCTGACATTACTACTGCGGCCCTGACACCTATCGAGTCCCGATACTTCAGCAAGGCGCAAAGGGTTCCGAACTATGATCCGTTCCATGAGGCACAGATGCGGCTATCAATCGCGTTCCCAGATAAACGGCTCTTGCAGTATGATTGCGGAAAACTTCAGCAGCTTGACAAACTTCTTAGGAAACTACAATCAGGCGGTCATCGTGCGTTAATATTTACCCAGATGACCAAAATGCTTGATATCCTGGAACAATTTCTCAATATACATGGTCACCGATATCTTCGCCTTGATGGTGCTACCAAAGTGGAGCAGCGACAGATGCTGACCGAGCGTTTCAACAATGATACCCGAATTTTAGCCTTCATCCTCTCTAGCCGGTCAGGGGGCTTAGGAATCAATTTGACAGGAGCTGATACAGTCATATTCTACGATTTGGATTGGAACCCTGCAATGGATAAGCAATGTCAAGACAGATGTCATCGCATTGGTCAGACTCGTGATGTTCATATCTATCGATTTGTTTCTGAGTATACAATTGAATCCAACATTCTACGCAAGGCCAATCAAAAACGGATGCTTGACGATGTGATCATCCAGGAAGGCGAATTCACAACTGATTACTTCCAAAAGTTGGATGTGCGGGGCATGTTAACCGACGCTGTTGTGGATGGGCATGACGAAGCGAGTGCAGCCATGGACCGAGTTCTTGATACCAAAGTTGTCGGAACCCCTCGAGCCTTCGAACAGGCAGAAGATAAAGAAGATATCGATGCTGCAAAGAATGCGGAGAAAGAATTGGAGCATGCAGATGATGGCGATTTCGAGGAGGGTAGCGCAC